GTTTTTCTTTCTACTTCCCTAGGCTCTAGGTTCTGGCATATCTGTATTGACCAGAGTCCAAAGATCACGGGAAGGGTATGTAGTAGATTTTAGATTCTGTGATTCGTCATCCGGTAGTCGTGTAACAAGTCGAATGAAATTTCTAAGAATCATTTCGCTCTGTTGTTTATTCAACAATTCGCGCGAATCTGTTTCAGAAAGCACCTTCTGTGATTCATTGTTTGTTCATGCAAAAAGCATCCTGTTCGCGAGATGTGTTTTTAGAAAATAAATTTAGGGCTTAAAAACTGCAAAACTGTGGCTTATAAAAGCCATATGAAAATATGTACATTCCTTGTCAGAAATGTAAATAACTATTAAGTAAACTTAAAAATATGTATATATTAATTATTATAAAAAAAAGATGTTAGTAGTTTTTTTATATTCTCATATTTTGATTGACTTATAATTTTGTATATTTTTAAATAATTTAGAATAGTTTATAATAATTGATAAAATATTTTAAATTAAGAATAACTAGTTTTGTTAATTGCATTTAATTTTTAGATGTATGTTGAGTTTAAAGTGGGCTTTTTTTATAATTATTTTGTATTTAGCCTCAAGTTTACTTCAAGAAAAAACCCCTACATTAATTTAAATGCATTTTTTTATAAAAAAAAAATGGTTGTACCATCTAAATATACTAACACCTTGTTAATCCTAACAATAAAATATAAAAATAAGATACCATCTGCGATTTTCAGTATCCCCCTATCACTTCCCTGAAATATCTAGTAAAATGTAGTAAATAAATCAAGAATCGTACACGTAAGTTGACCCACAAAATGAAACCAATGCCGCATTTCCATTCCATTCACAACCATTGGCGAGCGACCGTTACACACGGCAAAATAAAACCTGAATAAAAAGAAAAAATAAAAAAAAATAAAAGACGAAACACCTACTCACTTAAGACCCATTCACTTGCCCAGTTGCAATTGTGAATTGCAATTGCCATTTGCCGGCATCGTGATCGGACAATCAATTTAGCTGCATTTCGTAGTTCTGCGAACTGGCCTCCTGGTGAATCACTCGTCGTCACCCAATACGAATGCCTCGGGTAACGAATGCAGCTCTAGTTTTTGGCCTCTCCCACGCCACAACACACAGCTGTGGGTGTGTGTGTGAGTCACTGCGTTCGTAACGGGTTTTTGACACTGTAAAAAATATTAATATAAAGAAAAGAAAAAGATGGTTTAAATATAAACAAATTTATGCATGCATATCTTTTCTAAAAAAAAGCTTTTAAAACTATTAAATTGAATAAAAATAACCAAAAATATATTGCATTCTTTTGGGCGCTAATCTTGATTGGTTCACTCAAATTCCCAACCTGTTTTAGCTAAAAACTAGCCTTGTTACCCTGCCCTACATTTGTTACTGATGAAATGGCTTTTAAAACTATTAAATTAAACAAAAATAACCAAAAATATATTGCATTCTTTTGGGCGCTATTCTAGATTGGTTCACTCAAATTCCCAACCTGTTTTAGCTAAAAACTAGCCTTGTTACCCTGCCCTACATTTGTTACTGATTAAATGGAGTCGCTCCTTTTCAATACAGCTATGTAACCAAGCTTTGATATCTTTATCTTTTTAGCTTAAACAAACTTTGGAAATTTTCTCTCAGTGCAGATGCCGATCATTTCGCAATTATTGATTTAGTCCGTTGGCCAGTGCAAATAGATGGCAAGAGCTGTGATTTCTGAGCCCAGGTTTTGTTGTTGTATTTATTATTTTTTTTTTTATTTGAACGGACGACGCCTTTCGTGGTAATTTAAAACATTTTGTGTACACAGTTTGTTAAGATTCGTAAACAAATCACGTACAACAACAACAAGAATGCGCTGGCGCAGCAACGCCAAAAGTCGCAGTTCGCGGTTCGCGGTTCCCAAGCGCAGTTTTTTTATTTTTTTTTTTAAGTACACAAATCGCGATATATACTACATACAAACATATAAGCCGCATATAAGATATAGTACTTGTACATATATGTACATATATCGAAAGATGCCGGTTGCGTTGGCGTCGCCTCTCAGCTTTTGACCGTTTCATTTCGAACGCTCATTAAAGATATGGCGAATGTTACCTGGCCAGTTGGGGTATATAGGGTTTTTGGTAGGCTCAAAAAATAATTAATAAAATAATTATTTTAAATGTTGTATATTTTTAAGTTAGTTTAGTTAGTTGTTGCTTATACACCCCTTGTATAATAAAAATAGCTTGAAATGAATCTAAAATATATGAAATGAACTCTAAATTGTAAAATTCCGTATTATTTTTTTTGAATTTGTCCTATCTTCAACTTTATATTTTTAAATAAATGAAATTGAATATATTTTGTAAAAACTAAATGCACCAAATTTCTTAAATAAATATTATAATCTACAAAGTTGGCTATTTAAAACTTTTTACAGGATATTCACCGGTGCTATAACCTTTGACTCGTCGCCTGCATTTGCGGTCTCTCTCTCTCTCCCTCTGTCTCTGTGTTCCATTTCGCATTCATTAGCAGTATTCGCACTCTTTTCGTCCGCATTCATTTTGCATGCATCGTTGTTTCTTTTTGTTATATTTATTTATATTTTTTTTTTCGCTTAACGATGCCGCTGTCTGCCGTAGTCTTTATTTTATTTTTATTTATTTTTTTTTAATAAACAGGGGAAAAAGAGCAAAAGAAGGCAGCGCCAGGCAGCAAGCAAGACAGAAAAAAAAGAAATAAATGCAAAAATAAAATGAGTAAAAAAACAATGCCGGCCGGCTTTTTTAACCGACTGACGCTCTGAGTCACTGAGACGCGAGCGAGCGAGACGGCAGATTGCAGGTTTTTGAACTTGCAGCGCAGTCACGCCCCGTCCGTGGGGGGGGAAGAGCGAGCGAGAGAGGGCACGGGCAGCACGACGCTGCTGCGCCGGCGCATTTCGCGTGCAATTTCCAGCGCGCGCTTTTCGGTTTTCGTATTTTGTTTTTGTTTGTTCGGCTGCTTCCTCTTCGGTTTTCGCCGTTTCCGTTTACTGTTTTGTTTCGCTGCTTCATGCGGTTTGTTGATTTTCGCATTCTCTATTTTGCCTTCCCTTATTTTTCTTTCTTTCTTATATTTTTCTCTTTTTCTTTTTTTTTTTTGTTTTGGCATTTTTGAAATGTTTCTGCGGTTACAGCTTGCAGTGTAGACAGTGGGAGATCAATAGGGTGGACCAACCAAGCATAGTTTACTATGGATTAGGGTTTAATAAATATTTATAATAATATAGCCATGTTTATGTATTTAAATATTTAAATATTTATTTCTAAAGATACATATTTCTATATTATAATAAAATTGTAGTGTGAAGGAATAAATATTTAAAATTATTGTTTAAAATACATTTACAAATTTAGAAAAAAATATGTAACATTTTTTTTTGTATCTCTAGATTGCATTTTTAAGCATTCTAAGGTTACACATTTGTTTCAGTTTGAACACAATTCCTGATTTCTAATAATTCACACACATTAAGTAATAATAAATCTACAAATATGTATAAAATATCTTTAAAATAATGTAAAAAATCTATTCATCTAGAAGGTTTTTACTTCAATGTTGTAAAGACCATAAAGAAAATGTTTAGATTTACGTATACGCAACGTGTTGTATACTTAATATTCACTTACATATATTCACAAAAATAACCTTTAATAATCAAAATAAGTTTCCTAACGATAGAATAACAAAAATATACTTTAAATTAGTTAATATACTTTATTAAAATGTATGTATACCCTGGCAGTTATTAGAATTATTTATTAAGTATACGCACCTATGTACGAGTATACATTTTTTATATATATTATATTAATTTAAATCAGATTCTATAGATTTTACTTTTATATTTCAGTTATATAGAAAGTATATACCTTTCGATTCCCCACTGTATTTCTGGTCTTGCATTATCTCTCTGATATTTCCTTCTTCGACTTTGATTCATAAAATAAATGGATCGTCTTTTAAGCGCACAAATACATTTCTCAGTTGTTGTTAATATTCTTGTTGTTGGTGTTGTTGTTGTTGCATCGGCATTAACCCCTTGGGTTTCAACGAAATGCAAATGACGACATGATTAGTCCACGACGGGGGCCCTTCGGGGATCGTCTTCCATTCCAGAGACCAGATCATAAAAGCTGGGAAACGGGAAACGAGATCCCAGGCAACTGGCAATTAATTAAAATGCATAAATTATTGCCCATCTGCGGTGTTCGCAGCTCTTTTCCGCACATTTGTTAGTCGCTTTTATGGCGCCGTTTCATTAGCAATCCGCCACCGAGGTTCGCGCCTTTTAGTGCCCCGAAAAGTAGGCAGCATTACGTCCAGAAGGAAGAGTGTCCTTGAAGACTAGAATATTTAAAATGAAAATAGCAAAAGTCAATTAACAAGTTTGAAATATATATAGATTAAGATTTAGTTGCTATTGTTCTTCAATATATTTTAGAAAATCCAATGAAACACAAAGCAAATCATCTTAAATCAAGCATTTTATCCTTGTTTGCGTTTTAGTTCCCTTTTTTGTGTGCCTTGAGCTCATTTGGGCTCGTTTCCGAATCGTTGACGTTGTAAATTGAAGCTAAAATGTTATCCCCAGCTGGATCTCCGGATGAGTCTCTGGATGCGATGATGGAGATCGGCTTGGGGATAGAGTTGGAGATGGAGATGGAGATGTCAGAGGAGGATGGAGACTGGAGAACGAAGAAGAGATATAGATGGCGGCAACACTTAATTTTTTGGTCGTGCTGCGAGTGTGACAAAACAATTAATGTTTATTTTTGCATTTTAATTTGCCAACATTAATTGCAAGTTTATTGAGCAGCCGAAAGAGCCAATGAACCATGGGGATGTTGGCCTTGTGGGTTGAATGAGACGGGGTCTTAAATACAACTTCTTAAATTACATAAAATTAGAGTTAATAAACAAAGACCTCCCCTTTGCAGTTACCAAGTATTTATTTTGTTATTTCACTTGTTGCTCACTTGGCCGACAGGGTAATGGTCATCAGAATGATGTACAGCGAATGGGCCAGCAGGTTAAAGTCAGAGCCCAGGCCCTCCCAGTAGTAGTCCAGGACCGAGGAACCATAGCGACCCAGGAAGGCTATGACCGCCAGGTCACCATACAGCCGGTTGGCCTGGTTAATGCCCAAAAACAGCAGGGAGACCGCATTGCCCAGCAGGGTCAGCTCCTTGAGCGTCTCGGTGGCATGATCCTCGTTGTCCCGCATCTTGGCCACCATATCATAGACCAGCGGCACCACAAAGCACATGTGGGGCAGGGCCAGACTCGGGTTGGGTGAGCGCAAATATAGCTCGATATTGGTCAGTGGCAGCGGCACAATCTCCATCATTCCATTGGTGATCAGCCGGATGCGGTTGCACTCATCCTCCTCGCCATCGTTCTGGGATGCTCGCACCACCCCAATCAGGCCGTGGGCCAAGCTCAGGGTAGCCACTGCATAGCCATAGGGCGTCTCCAAGGGATGCAGTGTGTACATGGCATAGCCGGAGCTAACCACCAGCAGACTGTTGAACAGGGCATCCATCATCAGCATCTTGTAGATCTCGAGAAATGAGAGATTGGACTAGGCCTGATCTGGTCTGGTCTTTGGCAGTGTCTCCTCTAAAAGCGACTGCGAGCACGGTAAATTTAGTATTAGTGTAATCGCTTTAGACCCATTTCAGTGACAGTTGCGGCCAAGTTAACTGAAATTGTGAGAGTTCTGATGCTTCAAGAATATATATTTTGTGATGAGAGAATTTATATACAAGTTCCCTAAGAGAACTTTGACTTCTAGCTCTATTTTTAGAGACCTGGCTAATGGTTAATGGTTAATGGTTTCGGATTTAGTTTCGGCTTCAAGATTCTCCCCCCGGGGATGAGGAACTTCTCATTTGGCTGAGCACACTCTCTGGGGATCTGGACAAGACCAATGTTCACGTTGATTTATTGCATCAAAGGTGGCCAAGCTTAATCCATTGCATCCACCTGCAATCCACCTGCAGATGGCTCACCCGAAGACTGGCAGACTGGCAGACTGGCAGACTGAAGAGACCACAACCACAGAGCGCGCCTTAATTATTAATTTAAATCGCACCGTTTATATGATAAAGACACTGGGACGTGCCGCTGAGCATTAGTGCATGCTCATGCCCCAAGTTGCAACTTCCTGCAAGTGAAGTGGCAAGTGCATCTACGAGGTCCAGGAGCGGATTCAAGACGCACAGAATACGAATTTATAATATAGAATGTGTTTTCAGTTCATTTTTATATTTATTTATATATATTTTTTTTATTATTATATATACATTTTTTTTTAATTTATTAAATTTTTAATATTTTTTATATTTATTTATTTTATATTTAATGCAAACAATATTTTACAATTGTTATTATTATGAATTCATATTTTTTAATTCGTTAATTCTTCTTTCTTTATTTTTTAATGCAAAATATTGATTGTCAAATTTTATTTTAATATTTATTATTAATTAAGGAAGCTAATTTTCTTCTTAAAATTTGGAAATGACTTAAAGCCTTTTAAAATAAAAAAAAAAATAGCATTTCAAAAAATATTTAAATTAAATAAATACAAGTTTAAATAAATAAAAATAATAATTAAATACAATAAAACTAATTAGTTTAAATAAATAAATAAGTTATATTTGAAACCCATTTTTAAGTATTTTTTATATCGAATTTGGTGACTCCTAGAGCCGCTCCTGACCTCCCCGGCTGAACTTGTGGCGTGACAAAAGTTGTTGCTCGAATGCCTCCCCTTGCCGGGGTGGCCCCTCCTCCTGTCCTCCTGTCTGTGTGCCGGCAAACTCCGCAAGCGTAAAAATATGAAAAGTGCCGCAAGAGCAGGGGCAGGGGGCTAAGGCAAGGGGGCAAGCAGGAGCAGGAGCAACAAGTGCCGCATAAAAGTGCATGAAAGTGCACAAGTGCAAGTGCAGGCAACCGGCGGCTGTGGCTCAGACACTCAATTCATAATTAATCAGGCTCTTCTTTCCCTTTTCCGCAAGCTTAACACTTCCCCCAGCACCACTACACTTGAAGAAAAGTTAATTAAATGAAAATTATATCAAAATAAAACTCGAAGAAAATAATTTACTCTTAGGTTCATCTCGACTTTATACTCTTTAATAATTATTTAATTATTTTGAAATTATTTATATATATTTATTTACCATTTAGTTAATATTATTTGCCATGCAGGGACAACCCTCCGCCTTGGCTGACTGTTGGCCAAGGTTGAGCGAGCATTCGTGATCCGTTTCTGCCGGGGAATACCAGACCGAGAAGAAGATCCGGAAGAGGGGTCTAGTTCTTGGCCAGGTCTGGTCTCTGCCAGCTACTGGGGGTTTCTTTTGGTTCTGGACCCTGGCCATTGAGTGCCCTGAACTCGCTCCAGTTCTCACTTGGCTCGTGTTGTTGCCGGGACGCAAATGTCTTTCGACCATTGATTAATGGCCAACTCGGCGCCCCGTCTAATCAGCGGCATTTGCATGCAGATCGCAAAAGTTGGCCAAAATGTTTAATGAGCAACGCAACGCGGCACCAAAAAAAAAACCATAAAAAAATTAAACAAAAAAACCTGCGTGCCCAAATATTTTCCGGCTGACAAAACAAAACCAAAACGATTTGAGACCAAAAACGACTTTGGAAGTTGGGAAAAAGACGAACGGGTTTAGTACTCTTGGAATAAATATATTTAAAAATAAAATATATATGTATAATTAATAAATTTATTATTTTAATTAATTTAATTTACAGTCTTTGATTATTTAATAAATTAATACATTATCATTATCATTGTCAGTTTCCAAGGAAATCTCTTTCCCTAAGCGAGTTTCTTTATGATTTCCTTGAATGTTTCTTAAAATATTTTATATAAATTATTATTATTTATTTCTCCCAACTCTCTCTCTCTCTCTGCTTGTGTCATACCCCTTTTTATAGGGTATTTTCTGTTACTTCAACCTAAAATTTAAAAAGAAAAAGTGCGTGAGCGATGCGCAAATATTTGGCCAGAGTTGGGCGATTCAAAGTGAAGTGAAAAAAAAGCTGAAACTGCTTGAAATGCGCGACAGAAACCTTACGCACTTCATAAATTATTTAACAGCTGCCCCCGGGCCCGAAAAGGGGGGTACCGAAAGGGTTTAGGGGGCTCCTCAAGAGGGTGGTGGCGGTGGCTATCCAGCGGATGCGAAGGCAAAAGGGGACCAATTTTAATTGCCGGCTACATGACAATGACAACTCAAAAAGCACACGCACTCACGCATTTTTTGGAGGCCAATCGACCGCTGGTAAAAAAAAATACAACAAAAATTATAAAAACTAAGGAGGGGGGCTAAAAATGTGCGAATTTTTGACAACTGCAAACCGAATACAAAGTCGTACCATGTACAACATGGCTTTGTACATGATCATCGTCGATCGTCGTTGTCCCTCTACCTCCCCCCCTCCCCCAGAGAGTCGCCTGATTTATGGCCGGACAGCTTTCCAGATCGCCATACCCCACTAGGCTATACCTATGCGATACGATCTGATCCATCGTGATTCATATATAACATACAGATTGCCTCATTCGATGGACAAACTTGTCGCTAGGAGAATGGGTTTGGCCGAAACAGAAATTAATAAGGTGAGCTGAAAATATATGGTATATAATGTTAAAAGACACACTTGTCTGGGGGCCAAAAAGTGTGTTTCCATAATCGATAAATATAAATAATACAATAATAATATTAATTAAAATATAGTAGAGTTTCCTAGATACTTTTGAAGTTCAAAAAACAAACTCAAAGGCTTAAATTATAAGCCTTTTATATTTTAGTTCTTATGTTTATCTTTACTCATGAGAATTTTCAAAACTTATTGTCGACCAGAAGTAGAGATCGCAGATCACCGATATTATTCTATCGATATCGATCTCCCTTGCTTACTATCGATATATGCGTCTACTTAAAGTTAACGCAATAACGCAGCCTGGTGTGAATAGACCCTTATTTGTAATTGATTGCTTACACTTATGCCACACTACAGGTTACAATGTACTTACTGTTCCTACTATGCTCCTACAATATTATATTTTAAAATATAGATGGCTAGTTTTAGTTTATGAGAAAATTCCCTCTGGTTCCTGGTACCCAAATCCATAGAGAAGCTCATAAAATGTTGTGCCAGAATATAAATTAAGCTTCAGTGGACAAGATTAACTTGAGTGGGACTCACGGAATGCCTCTTTGATGTTCTGTTCTCATTGATTTAATTAATGTGCTTGAACTGGAATGTTTTGCTTAAGGAAATAAGTTTTATTTCTATTTATTTCAGTAAACTAAAAGCAGACAAACTTCTTGAATTCAACTATTCAAGAATTAACTGCATTACAAGCCAATCTCTACCGAATCTGTTTCAATTAATCATGAACTTAGTAATGAACTCAAGTCCGACAAAGTGGTTAGCTCTAGTTACACAATGGCCGAGTGGCTTCTATCACATAATATATGTATATTAAACAAAAATAACATCTTTGGCCCATTATTTTCGCATTTGATTTGATTTATTTCGCTTTGTCGGCTTTTGCTCAAGGATGTGACACATCTTCTCGCTATTATTTGGATTATTTATGGCCTTTGTCGGAACCACACAGCATCCCAACCGATCTCCATTCAAATATATGCTTATTCCCATGGCAACATATAGCTAAAATGCTACAAGTGCCCCAGACCCAGAGATTCTGGGAAGTGAGGCGGAAGTTAAAAGTGCCAAATTCCAGGAAAAGCCAAGTCGAACTATATTCTTGAGTTTATTGATTGGAAGCTGGGGATTTCAAGGAAATCAAGTTCAAGATTTATTTAAAGAAGAGTTTAGGGTTAAAAAATGTTCAAGGTATTTTGTAGATATTTTCTATATATTTTTGGATATGTTTTCTATATGTTTTCTTTATATTTTCTTTATATTTATTTGCAATATTATTTCCAGTACAATTTAAATTCCTTTTGGCAACGCATTTCCCCTACTTAAAACGCCAAAAACTGTCTGTCAAAACTGCAGAGAATATATTCAACAATGACCGATTTGAGTTGGGTTTGCCAGAAAAATAAAAAGAAATAAAAAAAAAGGAAATACCAAATTGAGAAAATACAAATTTGCTGCCTCTTGACGCTGCATAAAATTAAGGCAATGGGGGTGTTTGGTGGCAAAAGCAAAACAGTCTAAAACAGAAAAGAATAATAATAAAAAACAAAGACTCTTCGTCTGTCTGCCTGTCAAATGTCAATGATGTATACTTAAGCCTTCTTCGTTTTTCTCTCTCTGTATTAGGAGTCTCGGCATGTCTGGATGCATCAGACAGTCGCTCAGACAGTCGATTTCTTTATTTTCAGACCCAGACCGAGGCTCAGTCTCAGCGGCAGCAAAGAAGTCATTAAAAATGCACAGAATGTCAATGTAAAACGCTGATAATACGCAATTATGCATCTGAGAGTTTGGGTCTTCTTGCCAGATAAATAACACGGCCGAAGGAAGCTAATGACAGTTGGCGAAAATATAAAAAATGATGATGATACCATCCGCCCAGCACAGCCAAAAATGTTGAAATGAGAGGATGCAAAGGGTTTTACGGTATGAGTATATTGTATATATATACTTTCTGCATAATCCACAAGTCGTTTTGGCTTTGAAGTGAACAGAAATCGTTGGGGACTCAATC